ATCTATATTTTTAAAGATTGTTCATTTGTACATTCGGATCTATATTTTTAAAGATTATATTTTTCAGTTTTATCATTTCTGTCCTATATTTTTATTTCTACATTTTTTTTCTTGCTTCTCATGGAAGTGTTGTGCACCAAACACCAAGGCAAATTCCTTGCAAGTCTAAAAACCTACTTGGCAATAAACCTTATTCTGATTCTGATTCTGCCCTCGGCTGGAGCCACAGCGCCCCCCGGTGGCCAGCCCACTCACAGCTCGGCGGTCTCGATGTATTTGGCCGTGCCCTCGATGGTGTTGCAGTACTCGGTGGCGAACTTGGTGATGAGCTGCAGCAGCGTGGCGCTCTGGTCCTCCACCGGCTCCCCGTAGCTGCTGAGCAGCGACTGGTACTGGGCCGCCAGCACGTTGATCCGCGTCTTCAGCTCCGGGAGGCAGTCCCGGATGTGGTGCATCAGTAACCTGAGAGCAGGGAGGCAAAGCACGATCACATCCAGCAGGACGCCAAAACTCAGAAAACTACCCGGTGGCTCTAAATAACAGCAGACCCGTTAAAGCAGGGGTGTCAAACTCCAGTCCTCGAGGGCCGCTGTCCTGCAGGTTTTTAGAGGTAACCCCTTTTTCAACACACCTGATTCACATCAAAGGGCCGTTAGACAGGTGCAAAGCTCAACAATGTCCAGAGGAGATCCAATTTAATAAGAATCAGGTGTGCAGAAGCAGGAAAATGTCTAAAACCTGCAGGACAGCGGACTGGATTCTGACACCCCTGTGTTAAAGTTTGGATGCTTTTAATTAAGCTCTGCTCCTAAAATGTGTGCTCTGAGGCTCCTTTATGAGCCCAGATCCTTTTTGCTCTGCTCATTTTGAAAATGAACTTTCACAGTATTCCTGTCATTTTCAGTAATTGTGTCCCTCTGCACCCTTTCTAGATCAGATAAATCTGCATTTCTCATAAATTTATTAGTGTTTTTTAGCAGCCGTTGGTCTTCAGGACACAAATGGGCCCTAATGGAGTGGAACAGTTTGTCATTTCTGGCTCCAGAAACTCACTCGTGCACACGCCATGGTTTTCACTTTCACTAAACAAAACTTTAGGAATTCTGACTTTATCCTCACATAACTAAGGAGAAATTTTCATTAAACTGACCTTTACTTCTGGAAAAAAGGGAATTATTCATCAGTAAATTGTCACATTGCAGAAAAATAAATATTGAGTTATTATTTGTGCAACATGTCCCAAGCTGAAGCCTAAAATCACCTCTATCTTTACGACCTGAACAGCTGAAATAAGGAGCCGTGACACCGTACCTGTTGAGGGTTCTGGCCAGGTATTTGGTTCCATTTCTGTTGGCGAGGGAGGGATACTTCTTCTGGAGGAAGGCGTGCTCGTCCCGGATGGCGTCGGCCACCGACTTTCTGTTGTTGATGTCCAGCTGGCTCCTGGAGGGTCACAAAGCAAGAAAGCTGAAATTTCCAGGGAACGTTCTCCTCGTTATCGGCGTGCCGGAGACGAGTGGCGTTTTCGATACCTGTTGACCACCCCGATGAGGCCCAGCTTGACGGGGATGACTCGGCCCATCAGCACGTCCATGGCGTCCGTCCCGGCGTCCATCAGGTCCAGCTTGGTCACCACGGCCAGCGTCCTCCGGCCTGAGGGTCCACATCAGAATCAGAATTACGTTTATTGCCAAGTAGGTTTTTCTACCTACAAGGAATTTGATTTGGTGTTAGGTGCACAACACTTCCATGAGAAACAATAAACGACATAATGTAGAAATAAAAATATAGAATTAAATAAAATAAATAATAATAATAAATAATAAAATAAAATATTGAATGTCCAACGACAAACCAGAAAATGTTGAAAAACAGGGTAAAAAGACAAAACAAAACTAAATAATGCGCACCAAAACACCGTGGCGGCCTTTTTCGGCGCCATGGCAACATCAGTGAGTTACTACCCCCTAATCAGCTGGTCAGAGCCAGACGGTCAGACCCCGGCTGCCCCTACCGTCGGGGTCCACCTCCCGGGCCACTTTGAGGGCCTCGGAGGTGGCCATGTCCGTGTTGGCGGCCGTGACGGCCAGGATGATGCAGTTGGGGTTGGAGATGTGCTTCAGGATTAGATCTCGGATCTGAACCTCGATGTCCTTAGGCTGATCCCCCACAGGCACCTGGAGGGAGCCCGGCAAATAAAAGAGCAGATAATTAAGAAAATCTGCCAACTAATGAGGCTGGAAGAGGTGGATTTTAAGCCAGACGAAGAGCTAATGGGCCCTAAATGTGTTTCTGAACACTAAAGGGTTCTTTAATGAAGGCAGGAGGTAGAAATTTCCCCCGGGGTACCTTAAGATCAAAGCCTCCTAGAGAAAGGTGTTACCTTAGTGATTCCTGGCAGATCCACCAGCGTCAGGTTGACAACATTGGGAGAGAAGATCTTCAGGTGAATGGGCTCATCGCTGATCCCCTATAGAGGAGCAGCCATCACTTTGCGGCCCACAACAGACCTTAAAAACACACTCTGACCCCCAACAGCGTCTCACCTTATTAGTCCCCGACACGCGCTCCGTCTCGCTCTCAATCTCCTGCCTTATCTCGTCAAAATCCCAGTAGATCTGCAGGAGGAGCACAGAGAAAAACCTCGTCAGGGCCAGAGGCAGAGACAAAAGAGGCCCGGCTCCATCTCACACAGTCCCACCTTGTTTTTGGTGTGTAGAAACTTCCCCCACTCTTCTCCCTCTCTGCCTATGAGCCAGAACAAAAAAAAGAACCAGAAAAGTTAGAGTTCCCTCCCCAGACTCTGAGAACAGGGGAAAAAACATCGGCTGGACAGAAGCTAAACCCCGTGCAGGAGGCCACGCAAAC